AATAAAATTAAATAATAAATATTTTATTATTTTTTATTTTTTATGTTAGCTTTATTTCAATTACCAAATATGCTTAATATATTTTAATACTTAATATATTAAAACTGGTAGATTTAGTTTAAGTTAACAATAACAACACTGGTATATGAGCTCTAATCATACAACACTTTAATAAGAATAAATTAAATATAAATTAAAAATACACAATACACAAATATTGAGTAAAATAGTAAATTTTAATTAGATTATTTATGTTTATTAGATTATTTATGCGAAATTTATGAGCACTTACATTTTTAAAAATTGTATTTTTATTTTTGTTTTAAATGACCTACAAATTAATCTAATAGCTTGTCACAATGCATTATGGATGTTGGCTTCTCTATGACGGACGCATGTGACTCTGCCTTCCAATTTGGCCAAAATAAGATGTTTTTGCAGGCAACAAAATCATGTTCTTAAAGAACAGCCTGCACAGGCTAGATTTTGGATGAAAGCTGTGGTATATACTTAACATTTCTCTCAGCCATTACGCATATTTTAAATGTACACTTACCGACATCTGCATCATTGTGATTTTTGAGGATTTCTCCGAGTTCAAAATGGCCAGACATCACAGCGACCTGCCAAAAACAGCATTGCAGTAGACTTCGCAACAATGCAATCTTTAATATGAGGACAATCTTTGCAATTCTAGGAAACATGCACTCACTAAAGTCATTGTTTTGCTAGCCTTATGTTCCGTACAGCAGTGAAACATGCCACATGAATGTACAACAATAAGTCATGTTGATTAAAACTATTACCACACAGATACCTGGAAGGGGGTTTGACCGTGTTTGTTCTTTATCTCCTTACTGGCTCCTCGGTACAGAAGGACTCGGGCGCAGCTCTCCTGATCGAGCAGAGGAGATTCTTAAATCAAGATCCATTTACCATGAAGCAAAACGACATAAGATAAGAAGTGTTGTTTTCTGGAGCTGAGTTTATGATGAAAAAAGAACAAATCTGCCAATGGGCTCAGAAAAATCTACTTAATTCACAGGGAAAGCAACTTTTCATTACCCATTGACAGATATTTGCTCTTGTTTCACACATAAACTCACTTCATTTTGGTCAATTACTCAGAAAAGCAAGGCTTCATGTCTTCATTTCGCTCCTTAAGTAAATATATCTTGATTTAAGGATATTTGTATTGGAAAACAAGACCAAAATACTGAGGAAGATACTCATTGTTTGCAGTGTATGCAACATTTAATGCCACGACTTCATGAATTTAAGACTGATTTAAGAGCTTTCAAAGGCCTTAATTTGTGGAATGGTGAATTAAGACTTTTTAAGACGTGCAGAAACCCCGAATAAAGCTGAAAATAACTCAATTAAAATAAATAAAAGGGGGGAAAATAGAAAATAAAAAATAAAATATTTTTCTTTTATAAAAAAAATAAAATAAAACTAAAAAAAAATTTGATTTCAGTTGTTTAAAATAAAAAATGAAAGATAATTAAATAATTAAAATATTTTAAAAACTACTATATAATGAATACTAATATAAGACTGGACTACACTTTGATAAATAAGGTAAAACCACCAGTGTCACAGCTGTTTTTACTGTCAGGTTACCTTGTTGTAAAGGGCACATATGTGGAGGGCAGTGTTTCCTGATGCATTCTGGGAAGTGGTGTCTGCCCCATAGAACAGAAGGTGTTCTAAGTGTTGGGCGAATCCGTGCTGACACACCTAGAGTTGAGTGAACAAAACAGAGGTTAAAGAAACAAGACCACATCCAAACGTCAGAAGAACAAGGAAACGTCAGAGGAACAATCAAAAGAGGCCAGTAAATAGGTCAGAAAGTGCCATATCTTTCTGATGGAGGTGATTAGTGAATCTTTCTGTTGACCCTAAAATTAGTCAAATTACTAATCAGTATTACCACAATCTGCTTTTAATTTAGATTTTGAATGACTTTTTATTTTTATATTATCCACTTTCATTTTAATTTTCATAGTTTCTCATATTTATTAGTCTTTGTTTTATTATACTGACCACTCGGCTCCAATATTATTTTAATATTGAGATATTATTTAATACGTTTCTAATTTTTGTCTATGTAGTTATTAATTTTTATTGTTTTAGTTATTTTATTTTAAAGTTTTAGTAATTTTATTGGGGGGGTTTTTTCTCATTTTTGTTAGTATTTTTAAACCAACCACTCTGCCCCAGTATTATTTTAGTATCACTGCTATTATAGTTTTTATTAATATTTTTATTGGAATGAGTTTTATTTTTATATTATTTTTTTAATTAATTTTTTAGTTTTGTTTTATTATATTGACAACTCTGCCTCAGCATTAAGCATCATTAACATGTTGTTATAGTTTTTATTAATATTTTTATTTGTATATAATCAAATTCCATTCAAATGCTTCTCATAAAAATTACATTTGTTATTTATCTATGTAGTTTTTAAGTTAAACTAAAGGAAAATTTGAAATTTTGCTTTGGCAACTAGCTGAAATTTAGTTGTTGTTTTTTTCCCTCCAGTTAACATTTATTTTAGGTAACAAAAATGGTACTTGATGGTTTTAGTTTTAGCTTTAACTACACTAACCCCGCTCTGCTCTCTAGATATTCAGTACTGATCATTAAAAAGCCCATATCATGAGTTTGAACTTTGAATTTCATTTCTCCTGATTGTTCTGCTTATGGGCCGGAAGCACACAATTAAATCTCTGACTTAATTTAGGAGATATATATACATAATCATTATGCTCTCAGGGTGTTGTGGGACTCGTACCATGGTACCATTGTGTGTGGGGAACAGGCAGGTACTGTAGGTGGTTGGGGAAAATGAATATATTCATATATTTTTTGTACACAAACGGCTTAGAAAGGAAAGAGAAAAGAGCAGAGAATTAAAAAGAGAAACTTTTGTTTAAAACCAGGCAACAGACAGACAGCAGAAGACGATGAATGAAATGAGAGATGAGAGATGGGTACCTGTGAACTTCAACCTCTCCAAACGCCTCTTCATGTCTGATCTATGGAGAGAGAGAGAGACAGCGGAGGACTATGGACAGTGTCTGACTGATGATTCAGAAGCACCTAGACGCTGTTCTCCACTCGCTGAGGACATGTCTGTACTGTACTGTGATTGGCCTGCAGGATTCATGTGGTTTCAGACACAGTGGGTTTGCTGAAAGAAGCACAGTGAGTCTCGTGACGTCGGTGGTGTGGTGTAGTGGTTATATCTCAGAGCCAATGTGCTGGAAGGTCTCTAGCCATGCGCTATCACTGTTGTGCCTTAAAGCAAAGCACTTAACTGCAGGTTGCTGCAGGGAAACATGAGCTGTGATAAGTGCACTGTTAATCAGAGCTTCTGACATGATTTCTTCAGGATTTACATGATTAGGCAATATGTACAACCTGACACAACAATCCTAAGTTTGTATAGTTTCACATACTCGGCAGCAGTGTTCTTTCAGTCTTATTTATATTTTTATATTATTTATATTTATTTAAGTCATTTTAATATGTGCTATTATCATTTTTATACTTTTTTTTTATTTATATTTCTGCACAGCTTTAAATATTTTTTTTTATTTCTGCTTGAGTTTTAGTCTTTTTAGTACCCAATTTATATTATTGAAGTTTTTGTAATTTTATTATGTGCTATAATCATTTTCATCCATTTATTTTAAATATTTTTATTTTAGTTTTAGTACTTAAAGGGATAGTTCACCCAAAAATGAAAAGTCTGTCATTAATTACTCACCCTCATGTCGTTCCAAACCTGTAAGACCTGCGTTCATCTTCAGAACACAATTTAAGATATTTCTGACGATTTCCGAGAGCTCTCTGACCCTCCATAGACAGCAAGGGTACTACCACGATCAAGACTCAGAAACGTAGCAAGGACATCGGTAATATAGCCCATGTGACATCAGGGGTTCAACCGTAATTTTATGAAGCTACGAGAATACTTTTTATGCACAAAGAAAACAAAAATAACGACTTTATTCAACAATTCGTCGTCTCCGCGTCACCCTGTAGTGCCATTTTGGAGAGGATCACATACGTAAACAATGTATGTACGCGGATACGTTGTTTGCACTGTTTACGCTTTGATCTGAGCGTGTTTTCTTTGTGCATAAAAAGTACAAAAAGGCTTATTGAGAGAAAACTAGTACTATGTTAAATTAGGCATTGAGCACCCCCATATAGCCAAAACGGCATGATCATAACACCTCTGTGAATATTCGACTGTGAGATTGGTTTTCAAATCAGGCTCCTCCTATCGAATCTTCGACTATTCAGGGTCACCTCTAGTACTTCATTTAGATTTGTTTTGTATTATTTATGTTTTAGTAATTTTATTATGTGCTATTATCATTTTGATCCTTTTTCAAAAATATCTATATAGTTTAATTCATTTTATTTCAGCTTTAATTTTAGTATTTATTTACTTCAAATTAAATGACATGAAATCAAAATGCATTTATAAAGCACTTTTAAAAGCACAGAATGTCCCAAAGTGCTGTACAAAATAAGTAAATAAATACATATTACAAATTAATTAATAATTTATTAAAGAAATAATTATTTAATAAATTAAAGCAACATTCCTAATTTTCTCTGATTTTCATTCAATTCTTTCATCTGATATTTAGTTTTTATTTTATTCCAGCTTAATTTCAGTTATTTCTAATAGTTTTTAGTAAACAATATCACCTCAAAATCTATGTTTGCACTGTACTGTGCTGAGTTTATTGTATAGACAGTTTGAGTTTAATCAGATGCATGTCGACAACAAAATATACTGTAGCAAGAAGCATTTCTCCTTCATTTTTAAACAACTGACAAGCACAATTAACTTCATACATGTACAGTTGCATTTCAGTGCATTTTTTTAATTTGCTGTGCAATGAGGTTAAAGGTAAAGATCCCACCATCTAACATCTGATGGAAAAACATCTTCATCAGAGGATGAACAAAGTCCAGGCGCTTACGAATACAGACACAGTGATGACCAGGATGAAATATGCACAGGTGTTTAGAAACAAGACGACGACGAGCATGAGAGACTGGCATGTTATTCAAATCAAATTTGAATTTTTAAAAATTCAAACAATTAAAGAAATCCACATTTGAATGCTTAAGTCTACTATTGCTAGTTATCTACTGTAGCAAAACACACATTTTTTTATTATAAATATTGTGGGCCACATAGAGAGATGAAAAGAGAACCAAAAAATGAGAGAGAGAATGATGTGAATAAACAGACACATGCATGCACACATATACTCACAGACTTTGACATGTATATTATTGTCTTGTTGTGTTTAAGACAGTAAACACACCTGGTGTGACTCGTCCCAGCCGTTCTCGTCTCTGACTCCCAGCCGTGCTCTGTAGTACAGCAGAGTCTCACAGCAGGACGTTTCGCCCCCTGTCAGCACCGAGTGGTACAGCGGCGTCAGTCCACAGCGGTCTCGATAATCTGGAGAAGCTCCCAAAGACAGCAGCGCCTGGGATCAAATGAAGAGTTATGCATGCTAAGATTTACAAAAACAAGCCGATTAAAGATGCACTAATCAATATTGTGCAGTTGTCACCATCAATTTAACCTGTAAATGAAATGGAGCCAAATGGTGTTTAAAGACATAGTTCACCCAAAAATAAACATTTGTTGACAATGTACTCATCCTAAATAAATTTGTTTCTTCAAGGAAACAGATTTGGAGAAATTTAGCATTTGCTCAGCAATGGATGCTCTGCAGTGAATGGGTGCCGTCAGAATCAGAGTCTAAACAGCTGATAAAAACATCACAAGTAATCCACACCACTCCAGTCCATCAGTTAATGTCTTGTGAAGCCAAAAGCTGTGTGTTTGTAAGAAACAAATCCATCGTTAAGACGTTTTTAACTATTGCTTCTGGCCAAAATATAAGTCCATAATCCATACCTCCAGTGAAAAAGCATTTGTTGACAATGTACTCATCCTAAATAAGTTTGTTTCTTCAAGGAAACAGATTTGGAGAAATTTAGCATTTGCTCAGCAATGGATGCTCTGCAGTGAATGTGTGCCGTCAGAATGAGAGTCTAAACAGCTGATAAAAACATCACAATAATCCACACCACTCCAGTTGCTAAGATTTACAAAAACAAGCCGATTAAAGATGCACTAATCAATATTGTGCAGTTGTCACCATCAATTTAACCTGTAAATGAAATGGAGCCAAATGGTGTTTAAAGACATAGTTCACCCAAAAATAAGCATTTGTTGACAATGTACTCATCCTAAATAAGTTTGTTTCTTCAAGGAAACAGATTTGGAGAAATTTAGCATTTGCTCAGCAATGGATGCTCTGCAGTGAATGGGTGCCGTCAGAATCAGAGTCTAAACAGCTGATAAAAACATCACAAGTAATCCACACCACTCCAGTCCATCAGGTAATGTCTTGTGAAGCCAAAAGCTGTGTGTTTGTAAGAAACAAATCCATCGTTAAGACGTTTTTAACTATTGCTTCTGGCCAAAATATAAGTCCATAATCCATACCTCCAGTGAAAAAGTCAATCTCCTGTTGTCTCTCACATCAAAATCCAGCCACATATTTGTTTAGAGTAGTTTTGGACTGTAAACAGTGCTTGATCTGTGCAGATTTCTCTCCTGATTAAGACAAGACGACTTTTTCCACTGGATAAAGCAATATTATGGATAGAGGACTCATGTTTAGTGACTCATCGTTGATAGACTGGAGTGGTGTGGATTATTGTGATGTTTTTATCAGCTGTTTGGACTCTCATTCTGACGGCACCCATTCACTGCAGAGGATCCACTGGTGAGCAAGTGATGCAATGCTGCATTTCTCCGAACCTGATGAAGAAACAAACTCATCTGCATCTTTGATGGTCTGATGGTGAGTACATTTTCAGCTAATTTTCATTTTTGGGTGAACTATTCCTTTAAATGCATTTTCGTCTATCATGCTGTGAATGAACTGCACGTGTTTGTACCATCAGTGCGGATTGGTTGTGCGCGCTGACTGCTTTATGGAGGGGTGTGAGTCCATCTCTGGATCTAAAATCCACATGAGCCCCGTTCAGCACCAGAACTCGTATCCCTTCCACGCTCAGGTTGCCCTGAACCGCCAGAGTCAGAGGAGTCTCTGAGAAACAGATGAAAACACATACTGACACAACAGCTACAGAAGATCAGCTTTATTTAAGAGTAACAGGCAACACACACTCAAAAAACTGTAGTGTGGAAGCTATTTTCATTTTGAAATTGCCTGTAAACTTCAAAGAAACAGCTAGTAATGCATAGAATTAAAAGCACTGAAATAAAATAAAAAATAAAATAATATACAATAAAATAACATAAAAAACTAAGGGGGGCACCTTTCTAGATTTTAGTTTAGTTTTATATAATTTTTCGTACAGTACAAAATTACTTCATCACTTTTATTACTTTAACAGATACAACTTTATCTAGTTTAGTTATTTTAATATTTTAACTTAAACTAAATGAAAATGAGAAATGTTGCATTGGCAACTTTTTTAATATTTTATTTAAAATATTTTTTTCAGTTAACGTTTAACACTTAAATACTTAAAATACACTTAAACACAAAATAAAATAAAATGAGCTGGGCACCTTTTTTTAGTTTAGTTTTATATAATTTTCGTTTTTTGTTAAACGTTTCATTTCGTAAAACATTTCCTGTTTTATTGCTGAAGTGAAGCTGCTTTGAAACAACCTGTATAGTATAAAGTGTTAAATAAATAAACCCCATGCACTCTAAGAAAAGTCTGCAAAAATATGTAGTGTTAATATGAAAAAAAATTCAGTGTTGATTCCTCACAGGTGTTTTACCTGCGTTTTGAATTATACAATAATTTGGTAATTTTCTGTGTCCATTTTTGTCTTGCAGTGCAGCATCCAGCTCACTAAATAATATGGTTAACTATCTAAGGTTGCAACCACAAATATGAAAGGATTCTCTCAATTACAAACTGACCAATGAGCTGCAGCGATACTGTGATGACATCATAGCGCCTGCGAGCAAAATACTGAACTCCTGCTTATTCCAGAACGTCATGATCTGCAATTAGTGCGCTGAACATCACATTAAATAAAAAGCATCCTTTAAGTGAAAAAGCACAAGAGATCACGAGAACAGACTCCTCGTGAACATAATGAGCTTTGAGTCTAAAGTCAATGAAATGAGAAGATTCTGAAACACAATGAGGCTCATCTGAACTGAAAATGCCAACGGTTTAAACATATTCTTCATTCAATCTACATCTACCATAACATAACTAGATTAAAAAACAGATCTAACCTCCAGGCCAGTGCTTTTTCAGTATCAATGCTATACTATTACAGTATATATATAAATATTTTGAATAAAATTTTATTTTTATATTTTCTGTTTTCACTTAAATTTTTGTTAAAATTTTAGTAATTTTATTGTGCGTGTTTTTTTTTTGTCATTTTTATTATGGTAAAAAAATAAAAAAAATAAAAACGGCAAAAACAAAAAAATATTAAAACTTGAATAACTAGAATGAAAGTGAAAACAGAACATGTTTTTTATTTCATTCATTAGTCTTCATTACTTTACTTAGTTTGAGTTATTTTAGTATTTTAAACGAAAATGAGAAATTTGGCAGCTAGCTGAAATAAAATATATATTTTTAATATATATATTTTATTTCAGTTAATGTTCATTTTACAACTTACAATAAAGTCCTATTAGATAATGTTAGTTAATGTATTGACATGAACTTACAATAAGCAATACATTTGTTACAGCATTTAATAATCTTTGTTAATATTAGTTAACAAAGCGTACTGGCTAACGTACGCTCTTTGGACAATAAACTGGACTACATCTGACTACTACGCTCGACTCAGAGGACTGTAAGAGAGGGTGGTGCAGTGACAACAATCTCTCTTTAAATGTGGAGAAGACGAAGGAGATTGTTGTTGACTTCAGGAGAGTGCGCACTCAGCATGCTCCTCTGTCCGTCAATGG